GCCGGCCAGCATGCAGGGCTCTCAGTAAGCACCGACTCTAGGATGACAGGCGTGAGCCACCACGCCGGCCAGCATGCAGTGCTCTCAGTAAGCACCGACTCCTGCCTCTCAAACTGTTGCATCAGCACCTCTCAGCCCTCCCAGAATGAGGTATATCAATAATCTGCTAATAAGCAGGAAGATACCAATTGCTATTTCTATTTTTAATCTTAATTCCCTTATAAAAGGTTTTTAATGAGCATGACATAGTAGTTCAATAAGAGATGCGTGTGTAATTTACATACATCACATGCTTAATTTTTCTTTTACGGAGATTTTTTAGGAGTAAACTAACTAGAGCAGGGCTGAGGGAGAAACATGCACCGTGGGATGAAGTGGTTTACAGAACCACACCAACAAGAGGTTTCGTCAAATGCAAGAAATTAACTGAGAATTCAATGTTTCAATGGAAACTTTTATGTATTTCTAAGTTTATAGGTAAGGTATAAACAAAATCAATCCCCTCTGTCACAGGTTAAAACTGAGGAGCTGAAAGCACTGAAACCCCACAGAACCCGACAGGCCCATGGAGGGGCAGCTTTAGGAGATTTAAACTTTCTAAGAAACTCCCCTGTCACATGGAACTTCAATTCCTAAATTACAGAATATTTCATTTCAAAAGAGTTCCTCTCCTAATAAGTTTCAAAGCATCCAATCTAGACCCAGGGATGAGCACAACTTCCATCACAATATAATGGCCTTCCAGATGGGCTTCTTTTTAAGCACAGATAACTGATTTTAATTAAAATGTGACCACTTTTTAAGTGTACAATTCTGTGGCATTGAAAGTACACTCACACTGCTGTGTAACCATCACCATCTCCAAAACCTTTTCTTATTCCCATGTTAAAGTTTGCCTCCACTGAACTCCCCACTCCAACCCACCCCAGCCACCTCCACTCCACTCTTCTGTCTCTGGATTTAACTCTCTCGGAAACTCACACATGTAGAGCCACTCAGGATTTATCCTTTTGGGTTGTACACACCCGACTATAATCAATAGCGCTGCCGTGACTGTTCACATGCAGCTTTTGTGTGTGGTTCGCCTTCAAGCCTCTCTGTGTCCCCTTCTTTCATCTACCCCTTAAGACCACATCCTTCTCTTCCTTAACTACCAAAGTTGAAATCAGTCGAGCTCTATCTTTTTGCCAGAAGGAAAAATTCTTACACTTACCCTTTCCTTTGAACTTAGGTCTGTTTCATTCATTCATTAAAGTAAGTAAACGAATTGAGATTATTAAGAGAAAGGTTTCAGATCAAAGGATACCCAAACAAATGAGAAAAGAGCCAGGGTCAGAAAAAGTTGGGCTGTACAACCAGAGATAATTCACCAGCTCCATTACCAGAGGCTAAACCTCAAATTCAAATCTTTCGTAAGAGACCCGTGAAAAGGCTTCCCGTGAGTCTCTTAACACCTGGAAATCTACTGGGAAATGACATGGAAAAGGTCAAAGTCGTCCTAAACCAAGGGCCACCAAAGATCGCAAATGTCAGCTACCTTTGCTTCAAACCCATCAGAGCCGGGATCCTTATCAAGATTGTTCTCAGGATCCGGGGCAACTGGCAATCGTCCTCTCAACCCCATGACCCTGTTCACTGCTCCCAGTTCTCCGGAAGGCATGAAGCTGTGTCACTCCGGGGCAGAAATCCAGCCCTTCTTCCCACCATCAATGGTAACATCTCAACAGCAAAAACCACCCCAGCGTCACTGCAGAGCTTTCTTCCTTTTACTAAAACATACTAAAGAGAGCCAGCTAGTTACCACCTTGTTTGAAGGAATACAACTCAGCTCAGTAGAATTTTTTTTTTAATTACAGCTATCAACAGATTTGCTTCAATAATATAACCAGGGGGTCAGCCATGGTAGCTTACGCCTTTAATCTCGGCACTTTTGGAGGCCGAGGTGGGAAAATTGCTTGAGGGCAGGAGTTCAAGACCACGCTGAGTAACATAGTAAGACTCCGTCTCTACCAAGAAACAGGGGGAGAAAATGTGCTAAGTATGTGGGTGTGCACCTGTGATCTCAGCTACTCAGAAGGCTGAGACAGGGGGACTGCTAGAGTCCGGAAGTTGGAGGCTGCAGTGAGCTTTGACACCACCTCCGCACTCTAGCCCAGGCAGCCTACAGAGCAAGACCCTGCTGCAAATAATATTAACAACATTATTACCAAAGGAATGTGAAAGGCTGGGTGGGAGAGAGGAAAGTCCATGTGTGGATTTGTCAGAAATGTGTGTATTCTTTAAAATAGATTTAAGCATCAGCACGGACTAGCCTGAGCCAGGAGGAGCCTGAGAGGCAGGAGAGTCAGGCCAGGCACTCAGTGAATGCAGTGGGAGGGAGAAGAGCTCTGGATCCTGGATTCAAACTCCACCTGACAAGACCTCCAGGAACATCTGCTCCATCTTTTACATGCTTAGCCTCTATTTTGTACTTACCTCACTGGCCGAGTACCCACTGTCCATGGCACATTGGAGTAACCCCGGTCTACTCTTGTGCCTGCAGTGTCCCCTCAAGTGGGGGCTTCAGGCCTAAGAGCAATGACTAAGACTCAGGAAGCAGGAGAGCTGAGCGGCTGTTCTCGAGTTAGACACCTGGTTGGAATCCCAGCTCTGTCTGCCCCTCTAGCTTCTACATGACTCTGTTCTCTTGGATCTCTTTTTTTTTTGAGACGGAGCCTCAAGCTGTCCCCCTGGGTAGAGCGCCCTGGCATCACAGCTCATAGCAACCTCCAAATCCTGGGCTCAAGTGAGTCTCCTGCCTCAGCCTCCCAAGTAGCTGGGATCACAGGCGCCCACCACAATGCCGGGCTATCTTTTTGGTTGCAGCTGTCATTGTTGTTTGGCGGGCCCGGGCTGGATTCGAACCCGTCAGCTTAGGTGCATGTGGCTGGCGCCCCAGGCACTTGAGCCTCTCTTGGATCTCAATTTATTCCCACATAACAGACACAACTAGAATTTACATCATCAAGTTTCAGGATGAATGAGATACACCCGAGTCCTCGGCCGGTCCCGACACAGCACCATCATCTCTACCACACCACCTGCTCCTTTATCTCTTGGATCTCTGCTTCCAACATCCTCTTTCCATCAGTCTTCCTGGCCCTAGGTTCCTGGCACTGTTCCATTGCTGACACTCAGCAAGATGTGGCTCTCGCCTGCCTGGGAATTATTTCCCATTCCTCTAACAATAAAGACCTCAAACTTCCTTCAGTAAAGTTCCCCCTGCCTCCGCTCTCAGCCCATGTGGTTTGGGTTTAAGGATGACGCATGCGCCGCACCAGGAACAAGCAAGTGACCACAGTTTTTCAATCAAAGGACTCCTTCTCCCCAGCCTCCGAGGAGGAGCCCAGTGAGAGCCCAGTGAGAGCCCAGTGAGAGCCCAGTGGAGCCTGGAGACCGAGGGGGGGAATCCACCAACACCCAGTCCCTGGACCGGCACTCACTCACGCCCCAACAGCTTCTTCACTACCGTCAACCCAGACTCATCCTGCTGCCTGACCCGAGTCTGACGGGGTTTTCTGTCACTTGCAAACTAAAGTGTCTCCTGATTAAAAACCAGTCCCTCACCGAAACCCAAACATGATTTCATCGTGGCGGAGGTGGGCATCATCATCGATGGACAGGATGGCCTCAGTCTCGATTTCATTCCAGGGCAAGAATCGATTATTCAAACTGTTCTTCTCGGTACGAACCACCTGTAATGAGGAAGGACAAGGACTAAAAAATCGATGTTGCATTAGAAAACAAAACCAAAACTTCCTTTAGTTCAGAGGATACTGGGGCTACGTTTACAGAATCATTTTGTCTGATCACCCACCCCCTGGAAAACCCAGCATCCACCTTTCAGGAAGGTGGAATAAAACCCCCTCATAATTGGGCAAATGTATAAGGATTTCACATTTAAGCTCTATTCCTTTGTTAACTAATGCTCTTGTGAAACCAGAGCTGAGGATTATTTGACACGTGCAACCGCCTAGGGAAATTAGAAAGTAACTTTCCCAGGAGAACACAAGGTGGCAGGGCAGAGCCGAGACCCAGTTCCCAGCCGCGGGCTCCCAGATTTAACAGCAAACTCACAAACCTCCAGTCTGACGCCCAATTTTAAGACCTTTTGGGGGGTATAAATCAAAAAAAAAAAAGCACACGACCCATCTGACGTTACTCGCGTCTCCTCTGCAAATCCTTCCCACAGTGCTGACCACACACACGCTGACCACACACACCCCACTTTTCCTTTCACGGCATCATCTACTCGGTAAAATAGTTTTGTGTCTATCAAATCCGAGTATAAAAAACATCCATCAAAAATAAAATTATATGCAAAGCAGTATTTTCTTTATAAAACGAAGATGAGTGCCTCTAACTAATAAACATAATTTGCCTACGAGGTAGGTGAGTAGCTTGTCATTCACCTTGACACCTAATACTAAAATAAATGACCACAGTAATAAATGACCCTTTGTTTTCTTTCTACAGCATATCTAATTAGTCCAACTGATGAGAAACCATCCTTGTATTCCAGAAACAAAGAGAACCTCCTGAAGAATCATCTTTTTGGAGAGCCAGGAAGGGTCAGCTCACTTTCCACAGAGCATGTCCCCTGTCTGAGGCTCATCTCTGCCGGGCTGATGGTCAGACTGCACCTGAGATCGTCCAATTTATGGATGTGTCAAGGGTGCTCCGTGACCTCACCAGCACTGTCTTCTCAGCTTTTCCTCCCTTCTCACCCTGCAGACCAGCTCCAGTGCCTCTGGTCACACCTTCCTTGTCAAAAAGAATCATTCTGCTATTTTTTTTTTTTTTGGACACAGAGCCTCACTTTGTCACCATTGTGTTGTGGCATCACAGCTCACAACAATCTCAGACTCTTGTGCTCAATGGATTCTCTTACCTCAGCCTCCCAAGGAGCTGGGAGTACAGGCGCCCATCACACAGGCTACTTTTCTGTTGCAGTTGTCACTGTTGTTCAGCAGGCCGGCCAGGTTCGCACCCGCCAGCCCCGGCATATGTGGCCTGTGCCCTACCCACTGAGCTACGGCACCGAGCCTTCTACACAGGTTTTCTCAGACTCTACCTCAGCCCCAGGAGTTGTGGCCTGAAGACAAAGAAGGACCTGCTTACTACTGGTGACAGGCGGCAGGGCCAAGTGGAAGACATAGATGCACCTGCCTGCAACACGTGTGGCCAACAGAGAAACCCGAGTGTGCAGCCTACGGCCTCCTAGGCACAGTCAGCCGCCACAGCACAGAGGAACTGAGGCCTGCGGCAGGGGACAGAAGCAGGGAGGGAGCCGCCGAGCTCTGCTCCTGTGGACCAGGAGGATGGCTGGAAGTGGCAGGAACTAACGGGCAAGCTCCGCCTTGGTAAAAGGCCATGTATCACAAGGCACGTCCCAACCTCAGAGACATCAAAACAAAAAATAAGTGCACCTTAGAAAGGATGCAATACAGGAGCTGCTGAGGCTCCCAACAGAGGCCCCAGCGTTCCTTTCACTTTCCTAACATACTGCGTCCCCTTACTGCAGAACTGTCCTCCTGCCAGGTCCACTGAGCAGAGCTCCTCCTCAGCTCCAGCAGTGAACATACACAGCTTAAAATCTAGCCATGAGTACAGAGCTTAAAAGGAAGAAAAAATAATTGAAAAAATCAATTTCTGAATATTCACTTGTAAATTATCAATTTTGTAGGTTAATCTCCAGGAGGGCTGTTTACAGCAAAATTAGTAAACCAGGAATGTAGCACAGAGCCTCAGTACTCAAAGTGTGACCCACAGACCAGCAGCACGGACACATCACCAGGTCTGGACTGGGAGCCCTGTAGGCCCACTCCAGCCCCCCCGAGTCAGAATCTGCACTTTAACAAGCTCCCCATGTTGATTCCTGCACACACTAAATTTTGAGAGGCACCGGTACAGAGGGGAAAAGCACGGCTCTGGAGTTCACCAGGCAAGCCCAGGTTCAAATTCAAATCCCTCCACTTACCAGATAGGAGAACATGAGCAACTTCCTACTAAATCAACAGAGCACCACGTTGCCTGAAAAACAGAATTATTTACCAGCCAAATTTGACGATCCTATAAACAATCTAAAAACAATATGAAAAACTAAAATGATCACGGTTTGTCTAATTTACAAACGGAACCAAATCAAGAGAACCTACTTGTCCTTTATTAGGGGGCAGCAGGCAGGGGGTGCAGAGCCGGAGGTCTGATATCAGCCAAATGTGTTGGCCTAGACTTCACAGCCAGTTACGGAGCAGGTGTCTTAAAGTCCATTACTTGGCTATCAAGAAGCAGGAAGAAACTAGTTCTACGAATGCCGGGAACTCGGCATCCCTGCCACCTCGGCTCCTGCTGGCACAACTACTCTGGGCTAGATGACAGCAGATGTTGAGTGAAGGGGACTGCGTTTTAACAATCGCAACAGCAATCAGAATAAAAGTTGTTAAGGATTCACAGAAATACAACATGAGGCATCATAGTTTATCCGTAGTTAGCTGATAAACAACAGTAGTCAATAAACCTCCTTTAAGAATTTATTGGCCAGGCAGGGCGGCTCACATCTGCCATCCCAGCACTTCGGGAGGCTGAAGTGGGAGGATTGAAGGCCAGAAGTTCAAGACGAGCCTGAGCAACATAGTGAGACCCTGTCACTACAAAAAAAAATAATTAACTTTTTCAGAAAAAGAATTTAGAGCTGTGATTCTCACCAGGAGTGACTGCCCACTAAGGAACCTTTGGCAATGTCTGGACATTTTCAGTTGCAACAACCATCAGGGTTGGGGGAGCAGGCTGGCATCTAGTGGGCAGAGGCCAGGGACGCTGCCAAATCCCATGAGGCACAGGACACCCACACAACAAAGAATGACCTCACTGGTGCCACAGCTAAGACACCTGGTTCAGAGTCAACCTCTGGGAGCCAATAAAGTAAACAGTATTTGGAAGAATAACTACAGCTTGTTAACTAAGGACAATCCCCTTCCCCATACCACAAAGACATTTTGCCCTTACAGACTGCAAATACCCACTAAAATCAAGGGGTGGGAAATGAAAGCTGTCTTCTCAAAGTTTCGCTTCAAAGGTAGGGTGCTTACTGGCGAGACAAAGGCTTGGCAACTCCGATCCATTCTGACACCAAAATCAGAAGGACAAAAAGACACAACGTTTCTAAATGCATGCAGATCAGAATCAGACCCCCGAGTCTGAGAAAAGGCAAACAGAACCTAAAAGAAATGAGTCAACCACGGGCAGCACGTCATGTTTAGAAAGGTTCTCATTTAGGTGGATGCTGTCTTGTTTCAAACTAAAACAACGCTCCCGTGACCCCCACAGCCCCGGTACTTCTCCCCGCACTCCAGGATTCTCCCACTAGAGGCCTTATACCTCAGCAACTCGGGAACAAAGACTGACCAGTCCTAACACAGCACAGGGCCCGGCGTCCAGCCGGCGTCCAACAAATGTTTAATAAATAGATGAACAAATGAATAGAAAGTAGGACTTAATTCAGCCCTGCCATTCTATTTCCAGAATAAAGACTTGAGAAGTTTATAGACCAAAATCACAGGTAAACGTTCAGTATCATTGATGCTATTAAAGAATGATAACTAGAGAGGAATTAAGAAACTTCCTATCTAATGTAGTTTTTTCCAGCAAAAAATCCATCACCCCACAACAGTCCAGCCGGTCACTGCCCTGACGAGGCAGCTCTTCTGCACAATGTCACTCGGAGGGGCCTCGAGCTACTCATCACAGTGCAACAGGAGACAAGTGTGGCCTAGAACCCTGCCACCTACAAAACTCAGTGATTTTAATACACCTAAAAAGTCCGTTTTCTCCTTACATTTCACCCAGCCAGGCCAAATAATCTCTGACTTCTAACAATACATAATACATTTCTGTAGCAAATCCATGTGTCAAAACAAAACTCTGTCCAGCCATCGTAATGGCAGAAAGGTAAATAGCACTAAGCCCTCCATCCTCCTCTTCTAACTGAGAAAAGTAACCCACCCACCACAGAGCCCAGGGATCAGGAAAGGGGGTCTGGGAAGAGGCACACAGTCACAGGCACCCAACCCAGGTAGTTCGCGGAGGCCAGTAGGTGGAGAGGTGAGCTGACGGAGAGCACAATGGGAAGAGGAGCATTCAACTGCACAATTTTTAGGCCTAGGTGGGAGGATCGCTTGAGGCCAGGAGTTTGAGACCAACTTGGGAAATGCAGCAAGAGTATCTCTAAAAAAGTTTCTTACGGCTCGGCACCTATAGCTCAGCGGCTCGGGAGCCAGCCACACACACTGGAGCTGGTAGGTTTGAATCCAGCCTGGGCCTGTCAAGCAACAATGACAACTACAACCAAAAACTAGCCAGGTACTATGGCGGAGGCCTGTAGTCCCAGCTACTTGGGAGGCTGAGGCAAGAGAATCACTTAAGCCCAAGAGTTTAAGGTTGCTGTGAGCTGTGACGCCATGGCATTCCACCCAGGGTGACAGTTTGAGACTGTCTCAAAAAGAAAAAAAAAAGTTTTTTAAAATTAAAACTAGCCTGGTGGTACACATGGGTAGTTCCAGCTGCTAGGGAGGATGACATAGGGGAATCATTTGAGCCCAGGCATTCCAGGATGCAGTAAGCTATGAAATTTCCACTCACTGCACTCTGCCTGGGTGACAGAGCAAGTCCCTGTTTCTTTTCACTCGTTTTGTAG